TATGTGCCTATTTTGCACTGTAGCCTGTGGAATATGGGAGACATTGACAGGTTTGTATCTACTGATTATGTACAATTAATGAACATAGTATTGGAAACACTGCATATTATTTATATGAAAAACAGCTCTCTTAACCCAATGAAGGCATAAATAAAAAAATAATTATATATTGATAATTAACATAGCAATGATGATAATAACAACAGTAAAGCAGATGATAATGGTAACAATAATGATAAAAGAACAAGTGTTCATGCTCAGCTTACAAACATGTAAAACTTCGTTTTCCAGGTCAGCACTTCAGAATTTTCCTGCCATGGGATAGTCTTGTACCGCCAGAGCCAGCTGGTGGTGCTGCTGTGATAGCCCTCTTGGTCTTTTTCTCATATGCCATTGTCCTGAACACCGTTGTGCCTATTTCTCTATATGTTAGGTAAGTATCAGTGCGAGTTCCTTTCTAATATTTCTTTTGCCATTTTTATTATGTTTAATTTTTTTTCTGAGATGATGATACAGATTTTTGAGATATACCAATTCAGGCTTGAAAAAGGTTTAAGAGTGTGTACAGATTAGTTATGGTCAATGAACAGTATTAGTGTTAAAAGAACTGATAGTCTTTGAACATTGTAACAAAGCATATGCCAGAAGTAAGATAATTTATCATATTGTGATTTTTGAGGTAATATAAGTATTGAAGTTAATTCCTCTGTTTTTAATTGTGATTACTGTGTAACAACCAAATGTTTTTAACAAAATTATAACATTAATAAAGACATTGTCATAATTTTCAAAATGCATTTGTGATTTGCTAACAGTTTTTATAACTTTTTTTATCTTTTCAGTGTGGAAGTAATTCGATTATGCCAGAGTTTCCTCATCAATTGGGATGTTGCCCTTTGTTATGCTCCTACTGGGGTGCATGCAAAAGCACGCACAACCACCCTGAATGAGGAGCTTGGCCAGATTGAATATATTTTCTCAGACAAGACTGGAACTTTAACACAGGTAAAGTAAGATAGAATTCACAGGTAGAATACTGGCAAAGAAAAAGCTGTAATCTAAGGACCACAAACTGTTTATATTATTATCCCCCTGTTGCTATTTCAGATTACATAACATTATAATAAGAATGAAATAAATGAAAAGTGAAATATGATTTATTCAGAGTAGCAGGATGAGTCTTAAGCATACATCATGCAAATAACTTGTGCCTGTATTCCAATTTGCAGTTAGATATACCTATACTTTCTCATTGAAGTATAATACATGACCTTTGTCTCACCCATATAATCAAGCTTGCATTCAATTGAAATTGGGGATGAACAAGTTTTGACAAAGATTTTTTGTTAACTTCAAGTGAATGAAGTACAGTTTTAATAAACACTCTTCCTTCCTCTGTCTGAGAAATGAAACAGTGTTTTTTTTTTGTCATTGCAGAATATTATGACATTCAACAAATGTTCCATAGCTGGAAGATCATTTGGAGATATCATAGATCCGAGAACAGGTGAAAGTTTGGAAATTAATGAGGTAAGTTAACTTTTATTGATGACTATAACTGACAGACATTATGTAAATATGTATTTGCATTCACATACAATATGATTATATCTGCATATTCAGAAGTATATGAGTATTGATAAACTATTTTTGGAAGATCATAGCATAGATCACAAAAACTATAATTTGCTGATTCCAGTATATTAGATTCCAAATTGTTTAAAGATTAGATATTTTTTGAATCAGTAATACAGAATATGTTGATATCATTGCGAAGGGAAATGTATTATTACTGTGGATTGGTGTAAATATGACAAGTTTTGTATATTTTGTAATTATTTAGATGTTATAGTTATTTCAGCCAATTATACTTACATATATCTTGCGCTTTCATTTTTTTTTTTAGCATTTTTTTTTGTACAAAAATGTATAAAAGAAAAGAATCCTAATATTTTAGAAAGGTCATTATCTTTCTGACAGAACTGCTTCAACTCATTAGGTTTCAGGGATAAGCCATTGGTGACTGCAACTTATTCATAGAGTATTTAAGACATTATGAGGACACAGAGCATCTTCATATTGCATGTTGATATCTGTGGCTTCAATTTGCTTGCATGTGCCTTTGATGCTTATATTTTATTTTTACATTTGGAAAGTTTTTAGTGCATGGATGCATTTTTTATTTGAGTGCTGTTCAAGATAATTAGATAATTTGAGATTTTTTTTTTTCAAGTCCCCGAAGATTAAAAGTTCTTTCTAATGGAGAGCTTTTTATGTGCTTGCAACTGGAATTACTTTAGGTGTGGAGTGACCCATACCTAAGTGAATTGATATTTGAGATGATGTAATGACATAGCAAATACAATGAGGCATAGCAATTGGTAATAGTTTCCTTGAAAGAATGTTGGCTACTTTACATACATGTAGACAGGTAATACAGGTTAATGATGACATTCATATAGGTAAAATGGTATGATTGTTCATATGTTATTGCATGCCT